TCAGAAAAAACTACAATTCCCATGATTCCCTAACATTGAGCCAGGACAGTTAAAGTGGTCTCAAACTGGATTATTTCTGGCAGTCTTTTCAGGCCCAGAGTCAGCGCCTTAACAACTTGAGCATCCCACAGGGCTAGATAAGAGTTCAGTAAATAAAAAGAAATGATGTAGAGTGTACAAATCCTCTAATGGAAAGTAGCTACAGCACACAGCTATACCGCTTTAATTGTGATGACTCTTTCTTGCAGAATTTTGGGGTTTGCAGTATTCAAAGGCATATCTATATTAGTCTGTTTCAGCATGAAATGATACAAGAGAATCTTGCAGTACCTTTGAGACTGAGAAAAAAATGTAAAATAAGCTTTTATGGATATCAAAATCTAATGAAGTGGTCTGGAATCATAAAAAATGTTTGCTGGGATTTGTAGTTTGGTGAAGGACACAGAATTCTTTTCTACAGAGAGCCCTAGTCCAATCCTCTAAACTACAACACTAGCGCTCTCTAGCAGGGAATTCTAAGTACCTCATGAAATTACAGTTCCAGGATATCATAGGATGCAAGCTTGGCAGTTAAAGTGGTATAAAATTAATGTAACTCTGCAGTGCAGAAAAACTCCTCAACTTCCTGTTCTCATGCAGGGAGATGTACAGCATGGAGAAGGGAAAGAGCTTATCAAATGAAATATAGGGGGTGCCAAGCATGGTATGAAGAACAAATATATACTATAACTTCATTTTGGAAATTGAAAACCTCCACCAGCTGGTTTATCCACACTATATAGTTATAGCACTTTGTTACCAATTCAACTCCATCCTACATAACCCTGTGATCTGTAGTTTTATGAGGGTCTTAAGATTTTCTACCAGATAACTCCTCTAGCACTGTCATTTAGGGGAGTGTAGTGGGGATCTAACAGACAATTTTAGGTACATACAAGCGTGGGCGCCATTTTGGAGGCAAAATGGGTGGCAGCGGGGGGACTGGTCACAGGTTGCCAACCCCTGAACTAGACAGTTTGGTAACACAGGAAATAATGAAGAATAGGTATATTTGGTTAAATCCAGACATCATATGTAAATGACTCAATCAATGAGATTTAAGTTTAAGTCTCATGGATTCAGAAGATCTACTTTAAGTATGATTGTCTGGATCCAAGAAGAACTATATTTATCCTTATAGCAAAGAAAGAAAAAATGAAAAAGGATTTTTAGTAACTGCAAAGATTTTTATAGGGGTTAGAAATTCTTTAAAAAGAATTTTTGATGTCCCCAAAGTTTTGAGGAATGCCATCAAAAAGAATACTTACAACACAGCCCTACACATACATATTCAGAAATAAATTATACTGGATTCATTAGTACAGAGGTAGGCAATCTAAGGCCTGGGGGCTGGATGCGGCCCCCTGAGGCCTTTGGACCGGCCCCGGCTGGTCCTGCCGCCACTGCCACCCGCCATGATGATATTGATTATTGTTGTTATTACTTGTTCTTTGGGTTTTCTTGGAAAAATCTCCACAGGGGTTTTACCATGGTTTTTCTGGGGTTGAGAGAGTGTGCATGGATATTTTTTTTTAAAAAAAAATAATTTTTTATTTTTTTTAAATTTTATTTATTTAGTTAGTTAGTTAGTTAGTTAGTTTTGGTGCTTCGGTCCCCCCAATTGTCTGAGGGACAGCAACCCGGCCCCCCGCTCAAAAAGGTTGCCTACCCCTGCATTAGTATTACCTCTAGGAAAGAGTGGACAAGATTTCAGCCCTGCAGTGAACTCTGTGGGATTTACAGGTTGACTCTCCCTTATTAAAAATGCTTGGGACCAGAAACATTTTGGATTTCAGATTTTGGGGGATTTTGGAATACCTATATTTGCATATATGTACAGAATGAGATATCTTGGAGATGAGACAAAAATTGAAACACAAAAATCATTTATGTTTCATATACATCTTATACATGTAGCTTAAGGTGATATTACACAATATTTTTAAATATTTTTGTGGATGAAACAAAGTTTGTGTACATTAAACCATCAGAAAGCAAAGGTGTCACTATCCCAGCCACACATTAAAAGTTTTGCTTTTTGGAGTATTTCAGATTTTGGAGTTCCAGATAAGGAAGACTCAGTCTGTACTTCTGAGTAAACTAGGATTTTTTAGGGAGGGACAACTGCTGGTTACAGACAACATCTGGAAAATGAATCTGTGGAGTATTAGAATTGCAGTGAAGACAATCTTAAAATTCTAATAGTTTGGTCATATTTGATTATTTGATTATTTTAATTTTTTTAAGCTAAGAAGATACAAACTATGGACTGGTCAATAAATATAATAAGTTAGATTTAAAACCTTGCAACTGTTTTGTATTCATATTTACAAAGATAGAACTATTGCCATGACTGCAAATGCTCCTGAAACCCACCTTAAAAACCAGCCAGTCAGCTCAAGTTGTGGAGTTCTGTGGTGCTGGTAAGCAGGGCTCTGCAGGATGACATGACCAACTCCCTCCTGTTACCCAAAAAGTGGGGGGACTTGCAGTCCCCAACAACAATGACAGTGACTCTTAGATATTTGAGGGAATTTATTAGCTCAACAGGAGACCTGCAAGAGGTTGGGTAAACTAAGGGGATCCTTCCACCTATGTATACCTGTACTTATACTATGTATATCTGCATTATTCTCTTAATAATTTCATTATATTTTTTGAGTAGTGCATAGTTTGTATTTTCATAGCTTAAAAAAATAGTCAGATATGACCAAACTCTTAGAACTTTAAGATTGTTTTCACTGCAATTCTAAAACTCCACAGATTCGGAAAATCAAAGGAAAATTCAAACCAAAGACTGGGATGGTCTATGACAATAAATAATTCAAGACCAGGAAGGAATAAAAAGATGTTGGATGCAATACACAGAAGAATTATACAAAAGAGATGACAAAATGAAGGACATGTGGAATGAAGAGCCATATGAAGAACCCCAAATCCTAAAAAGTGAAGTGAAAACTGCAATAAGAGAAATAGCAAAAAACAAATCACCAGGAACAGATGATATTCCAACTGCTGCAATATTGAACTGCTGCAATCCACATTGACAGAGTCAATGCTAGTGTTAACCAACATATGTCAATAGATATGGAAAACAAAATGATGGCCAACAGATTGGAAGCAATCAATATACATCCCCACCCACAAAAAGGGAGACACAAGAGACTGCAGCAACTTATAGGACTGTAGCACTGATCTCCCATGCAAGCAATATCATGCTTAAAATTCTACAACATAGACTCCAACCATACATAGAAAGAGAGATCCCAGAGGTCCAAACAGGGTTCATGAAAAGAAGAGGGACTAGGAATCCCATTGCAAACATATGATGACATTGAATGGATTTGAGACAACCTTTGGATAACTGGACAGGAAGGGATGAATAAGGACACAGGCTGGGATGAGAAGGAAATATGGTCTTTAACTGCTTTGTGATGGGACTCACTCAGTCCCTATTGGGAGAGGAAATGTGGAAAGCCTGGGGGAGGGTGGAATGATTAGTAAACCCATTTAACTTTTATTTATCACTGTCTAGGTCTTCCACATGTCTTTGGGACCATCTGCCTTTCCCATGTGAAATTTCTAGTATTCCAAAGGTCATTGTGAGTTCTTAAAAACATGCCTGACTCTAGATATCAAAATGTGAAAATATGAAACCCTATATTCCAGTGAGAGGGGCTTAGGGTATGCTAACAATCCTGCCAGTGAGTGATGTTGTGAGAAACAGAAGCAGGGATTTCTGCAGGGTCCTGTCACAACTCTTTCTCACACCATCATTTGCTGGTGGGATTGGGCTGGTCATGTCATTCTGCAGCACCCTGCTCACCAGCACCATAAAACTCCATCACTCAGGATGGTTGGGTGGCTTTGAAGATGGGTTTCAGGGGTTGGAACAGGAGATGTAGTTACAATGTTGTAGCTATGCCTCTCATGTCAGGTTTCTGTCTACATAATTAAATAGAGAAGAATGTATGAATAAGAAATATGAATATATGAATATGAATGTATAAAAATGTTGCCATTACAAGTACAAGTGGAACCTGCAAGAAAACAGTAATACAACTGTTTAAAGTTTCAACTAGCCAGGTCATCCCCTAAAATACTCCATTCCATTCTATTCTATTTTCCCTCCCAAACAGTTGATGTTCATAATTACTAAGTCTGCTGCCACAGTGCAGAATGGATGAAGTCTGACACCATTTTGACTGTTATGGATCAATGCTATGGGATCTGCAGTTAGATGTGGAACCGGAGCTCTCTGACAGAGAAGGGTAGACATCTCACAAAACTAAAAATCCCAAAATTCCATAGCACTGAGCCATGGCAGTTAAAGTAGTATCAGACTGCATTAATTCTGCAGTGCAGACACAGCCTGAGAATATTGAAGAGTTTTTCTTCTTCTTAAAGAAAACTAGTATGTAGGGATGTAAAGAATTCTCAACACTGTTCATTAAATATATGAGATATTGGCTACTCAGTGCTTCCATAAATTCTTTAACTAGCTGTAAAAGTTGCAGCTTCTTGACAAAGGAGCGAGTTTTTTAAAAAAAATTATTTGCAAATGAAGAGACGAGACCTTTCAAATGAAAATTCAATGGGCAGGGTTGCGTATTTTACACAAGCAACAATTCAGATTGGGTGTTACCAGAGGATCTTACCAGAGGCTGGTTATTTCCTGTTGCTTTGTGAGGATGATGGCTCTGCTGCTTGCCAAAGGGAAATGCTGGCTTTTGTTGAATTGAAAGAAAACCTTTTTAATTTAAAGCTACAATTTATTTATTTATTTTATATCCCTTTGTTGTTTTTGCTGTGTGTCTTCAAGTCATTTCTGAGGCTTATGGCAACCCGAAGGCAAACCTATCATGGGGTTTTCTTGACAAATTTCTTCAGAGAGGGTTTGCCAATGCCATCCTCTGAGGCTGAGAGTGTGACTGGCCCAAGGTTACCCAGTGGTTTTGCATGGCCAAGCTTGGATTTGAACCATGGTCTTTAGAGTCATAGTCCAGTGTTCAGACCCCTACACCATGCTGGCTTCTGATATAGGGACTCAAAGTGGCTATAAACTTATAGTTTAAGCCAGGGGTCGGCAACCTATGGCTTGCGGGCCACACTCGGGCCGCCGCCCCCCGCTGCTGCCATGCGTGCTGCCACAAACACCGCCACCGCGTGTGTCGTGGTCGCCATTTTGTTTTCCAAAATGGCGGCTGTGTCTCGTTTGCACATGCGCAGTACTCCTGCACATGCCCTAATAGGCCGCAGCTGCCATTTTGCAAAACAAAATGTCAACCGAGCGTGCACGGCAGTGCATGCAGCGGTGTGCGCAGTGGTGGCGGGGGTTGGCATTGTTGGTGGTGGGGATTGGTGAGGGTTGTGCACATGTGTGTGAGCATGCGTGCTGCCATTTCCCCCTCCCCCCCGGCCCGGCAGAAGACGTGGGGACCAGCGACCGGCCCCAGGTAAAAAACATTGCCAACCCCTGGTTTAAGCCATTAAAAGAGCAACTTTTGCTCTATGGAGATGTGCATTCTAGAGACCAGGTTTCGAATCCTTGCTTGGCCATGTAAACCCACTGGCTGACCTTGGGGAAGTCACACTCTCTCAGCCTCAGAGGAAGGCAATGGCAAACCTCCTCTTTCATCCATGCACTATCTGCTGGTTCATTTTTGGTTTGGCCAAGATTGAAAGACACAATTGTTATTCCAATCACTTTTAATTTTGCTAGAGAAGGGGGAGGATTGAGGAGTTTTACATCAAAGGCAGATATATAATGCAAATGAAATTAGCACTCACTCACGTAATTAGTGTAAATGTTCCCTTGGTCCCTTTTGGTCATTCAAATGTCCCCCCCCCCCAAAAAAAAGGGAGGGATGAGAAACTTAAACATTTCTTGCTTTTCAAGAAAGAAACAATTTAAAAAAAATCTCGCCTGGCTCTTCAAGGGTGAGACAAAAGTATTATATGTTAGCAACACTACTGTTAGCAACACTACATGGCAGTGTTGTTTTTGTTTTTGAGGTACTCCTGCAAACTTTGGGGTCCTTCTAGATAAGATGATCCTTTTTTCTCTCTCTCTCTTTCTGTTGCACTTTTTCGATTTCAGTCTTGTCAACACTCACCACCTTGAATTTGCTTTCGGACACTTTGTAATGTTCAACATTCCTTGTGACATTTATTGATGACAGAATATCTATTTAGAGATAAGGGATGGGTCTGCAATATGGTTGCTGCTTCAGGAATCATGTTATGTCAAATACTGGAGACAAATGAAAGTACCAAGTGCAGTAAAAATGGTTGGATAAAAATAGAGGGATATATGCCCTCATGTCAAAAATAATGAAACATTTTCATGTTGAAAGAAAGATAGAAATTGGATGTATTTATTTATAAATGAAAAGGAGCAAACTGCCAGTCCTGTCAGTTTTGACCATAGCCTGCTACCAGGGCTGGGACTTTGTTCCTATCTAAACAGTATCTAAATTTGCATCCATATATCTAAATTAGATGCCCTAGATTTAATTAATTAATTAATTTGGAGTATTTATACCCTGCTCTTCCCCCACAAAGGCTCTCACAGTGGCTTACAAATGGTTAATTAGATGGTTCCCTGCCCTCAGGTTTACAGTCTAAAAAGACATGACACAAAAGGAGAAGAAAATGGCAGTGGGGAAGGGGATCAAGTCTTTCAGTTCTTCTCTCCCTCTGAGGCCTGCACCATGACAGATGGACTGGAGGGATGGCTCCCCTTCTTAGTCTAGGCTAGGCCCAATGGAGCTGGCCTGCCTCTCCCTCTGAGGCCAAGGAGATAATGTAGGTAACAGACCATTGTCTCTGTCCAGCAAAAGGACAAACCTTTGCCCTCTATACTCAGTGCAAGAATAAAGTGCAAGTGTAAAGATCAGTGCCTGCTGAATCAGGGCTTCAGTTCTGCAAAGAGCAAGACCTCTGAGGGAAACAGAGGTCCAAAGCAGTAGCAAATGCAGCAGCCTCTTCCTTCCTACAACCCACTGATGGTCTCTGTGGTCCTCAGTCTCTCCCCTGATGGCTCCTTTCTCCTCAGAGACCACAGCAGTGGCAGCTGGAATGGAGGAAGGTTGCCTTGCCAGCTGCTGGGACTAGGCAAAGATAACAACATGCATTTTTATGCAATTCTCTATCCTCTTTTGTGTTAAACCAGCTTCATTCATTTATATACCACTTCATATCGCGCTATGGGATGTCTAAGCGGTTTTCAACTGTAAGCTCATTGACCCCCCAACAGTTGGGTACTCATTTTAGCAACCTCGGAAGGATGCAGGCCTGAGTCTAGCCTGAGCCCTGGCTAGTATTGAACTCGCAACCTTGTGGTCTATGAGTGAGTGGCTGCAGTACAGGCATTTAAGCACTGTGCCACCAGGGCTAAAGCATTTCACCAGGGTTAAAGCATTTCAGAAAGCTTTAAGTAATCACTCCAACCTGTGGGACCCTGGCTCCTAGAAAAGGTCACATAGTTTTCCTAGAATGTTCTGGGACACCACCCTGAAAGTCAAAGGACAAACAGGTTTCCCAAGAATCTTTGGAAGAAAGACATGGCATTAAAGTAGTCACTGTGGCACAGATATACCTTGGGATGTGCCATTAGACACTACACTTTCAAGTAAAATCTACTTAAAAGAACAGACTTGGAAGGGATGGCATCTAGTCCAACCTCTTGCCATAACTAAAGCACTCCCAATAGGGTCTATCAGAGAGCTCTGGTGCTTCACCAAACTACACATCCAGAATTCTGTAGGACAGAATCCTGGCAGTTAAAGTGATGCCAAACTGCCTTAGTTCTGCAGTGTGAATACACTCACTAATACTGAAAATGGAAAAGTCTGCTTCCTCCTTCACATTTGTGCCAGGTTATAATAGTAGCAGCAGGAAATGAACAGAAGCGTCATCATGTGAATCATTGCTTGAATACTGGGGCCTGGATCTTGCCTCTTTCCTTTCTCGTGCCCTGCTAGACACTTTAATATGAGAGCTAATTGGAATCCCAACTGCATGGCACTGAGGACCATCTGTCCAGCGACTGCCTCTCAGCTACCACCTGCCAGTACCATAGTGCTAACAGCCAGTTTGGGTCATGGGTCATGTTTGCAACCCAAGTAGCAAATAGCAACAAGGACCAAGCACGTTGGTAGCTTGGAAAGGCTCCATCTATTCTAATTACGGTAGTCTAGCAATACTAGGGCAGAATTGTTTCACAGGGAGATCTGGAACACAAATGGCTTAAACTGTGTCCCTTGTGACACCACTGTGAGCCTCCATTATCACCTGATACTGCCCAGAGAGGTAATCAGGATTTCAGGCTTCAATTTAAAAGGAGAAAATAAAGTGGAAAAAAATGAATAGAAAGAAAAAGGCAATGGGAGCAAGGTATAACTGTTGAAAACACAAAATCTAATGAAAGGCAGGTACAAGAGAAGTATATAAAATTGTATCAAGGAAAGGCTGCACAGCTTGGGAAGAAAACATAGGAAAATGGGAAATGTTTGGCTTTGAGTGTAATACAGTTAGCCCTCTGTAATCACAGACTCTTTATCCATGGATTCAAACATCCATGGCTTGAAAATATTTTTTTAAAAAGAATATATGCCAAATTGTAAGCCTTGTTTTTGCCATTTTATACAAGGGACACCATTTTACTATGGCATTGTATTTAATGGGACTTGAGCACCCATGGATTTTAATATCCATGGGGGGTCCTGGAACCAAACCCCAGCAGATAACTAGGGCCCACTGTATTTAGACCTCTAGGCAGAAGTATGGGATGGGACAGGTAGATATGGCCCATATGTGGATGGACTGTAAGGGGATGTGGGCAACAATTGGCAGTAAAAATCTTCTCTCTTGCATCTTAGTTGCTCCATCTTTATATTCTAAGCAGATATAACCTACCTCTTGAGGTATTCTAAAATAATTGCTAGAAACAGAAGCAAATATTTCAGGAGATGGTTATGGCCAAAAACAGTTAGGAGGACATCCCATCCTGTCATACTCTACTTTGAACATTCAACAAAACCGATTTATTTTTACTTAAGCATTACCAAACAGGAAGGTTTATATCTACCTGTGTCCTATTCAGGAAAGGCCTTCTGATCTGCTGGAGGTTTCCATAAATAGAATGGATGATAGTCGTGCTTCCCTAATTCTTTCCTACCCCTGTACCCCTGATCCTCTCCAGAGAATTGGAAAATCCTTTGGAACACGACAAGAGGTCTTCAGGAGCGAGAGAGGTAGTTTGCAAAAATTCTTATCCTACTCTTTACTGAAGCCCCTTGAATCAAGGGATCTTCCTTGAGCAGATGGAAATGAATTGATTCCTGAAGTTATAGTTATTGGTGTTTTTTTTAATTGAGCAGACAGAACTGGAATTTTTGCTGTGCCCTAGGAACAGTGATTAAAATGAACCAGGGTAAGAGAAGGGAAGAAATTTATGCAAAAAAATATTATTCAGTGGGTTAGATGTAACCTTGTCACACTTAGAGCAAACTCATCCAAATCAACAGGGTTTATAAGCCAGTCTCAGATATATAACTTTCGATGGTTTTGTGCATCATGCATGCAAACAATTCATCTCCATCTGTTGGTTTAAGGGTTCATTCACATGACAGAATTATAGCATTATGATTCCACTTTAGCTGCCATGGCTGCCTTCCATGGAATCTTGGGGCTTATAGTTTCATTAGAATTTCCAGAGGAGCTCTCAGGCTATTTATAAATGCCTCTCTCTCAACCACAAATCCCAGGATTCTATGGGATGGAACCATGGCAGTTAAAGTGGAATAATAGTTTTATACAGCCCTTCATATCCCTGGATTCTGCACCCACCAATTCAACCATCCACTGCTTGAAATTGTGTGTGTGTGTGTGTATGTGTGTGTGTATACACACAAAGCAAACCTTGATTTTGCTGTTTAATATAAGGGACACCATTTTATTACCCCACCTTACTGTATATAATGGGACTTGAACATCCATGGATTTTGGTATTGACAGGAAATCCTAGAC